TAAAAATGTATTAAATTTTTTTCAGAAAAGTTCATCAATGAGAATGGCGGCGATGACGCGGAATATATAGCTGCACCGATGTCGTTTTTCATATTATCTGATTAGATCCGTGCCGATGGCATTCGTCGGATACCGTAATAGGTATGATTGTTTCACAACAAAACATCACCGCTCTTGCGATTGTCGACAAGTAGTAGATAAACGACTGTTAGTCGATTATTAATTATTCGTGGTATTTTCAAAGTCGTTTTCTCGTTCAATAAGTGCGTGTGAATAGTTTATAGTTCCTCATCCTTCTACAAACAATCAGTTGTAGAAAAAAGAGCGATAAAAAATTATTCACAGTCGCTTATTGAACGAGAAATCGACATTCACAATACCATGGAAAAGCAATAATCGAATAATAGTCGTTTATCTACTACTAGTCGACACTCGCAATAGGGGTGCATGTTATTAGCAAAATTGTACAAAATTTAAAATAAATTACTGCAACTGAGCTAATTATGTTTCTAACGGAACTTTTTATAGCCATTTAAATTTTTTGGTCAAAGCCACTTCTCTCTTTTGTACAATTAAAAAACTGTAATGATGGTTCAATGTACTAGAAATGTCAGTTTTCAAAAAACATCGATGCATCGATACATCTACTATTTATACATCGAGTGGAAAATTGTCGATGCATCGAAGCAAAACATGCAAGGCGAATTTATACAAGGTGGTGTTAATGGCGAATTTAGATATTCACTGCGGTACTTTCTCAATGTCAAAATGGTGTGTTTGTTGTAATATGAATTCGCCTTGTTTACAACAAACAAATCATTTTCACATTAGGAAGTACCGCGGCGAAAATCTAAATTAGCCATCAACACCACCTTGTATAAATTCGCCTTGAAAACATGGATATTTTCGATGCATCGATGATTTCCGACATCCCTACTTTTAATCAGTGTCAGACCAACGGCTTTACACAGAGGGGCTCATAAAACTTTTAAACGTTTTATAAACTCATGTTGTAGATACTTTAAGATCCTTATAAAACTACCTAACTACGGTTTTTAAACTAATAATAGAGTATTATTTTGTGCTATCAATCCGCGCCTCCTGGGGCCCTTTTAATCTTATAAGGGTTTTAAAGACTTTTATAGAGCAAAATGGTAAAACATTTGTTCTTAAATTTTGCGGAAGGATGCAACTAAAAACCTCTTATAAAACTTGTTGTGTTATTCGGGATCCTCCTGACTTTCATCTTCACTTATTACAAGCTTACAAGCCAAACCAGATTTGTCAGGTTTTTCTTAAGCTGTTTAGAAATAATTCTTCATTCTCAATCCTTTGGCTGTTTTAGAATTTGTTTAAGTTAATTTACAGCCGTATTCTAACAAAGTCACAAACTTTAGCTCATCACTTCTGTGATTTCTACTGCGCCTCAAAGCTCGCCGCTGCAAAAAATATGTCGCTACAATAAAAATTTTTAAATTTTTGTGTATTTTTCTAGCACCTCAAAATCGATTTTTTGTGAGACATTTCTCGGCGCAATAGAAATCACAACAGTGATGAGCTAAGTTTTGTGACTCTGTTAGAATAGAAGGGTTAGTCTAAGGAATAGAGTATTCTTGCGGACTATAGGCAAACCGAAAGTTATTACTAAGTTCGCTAGATAAATACATATGTAAAAATGTGTATAAGAACAAAACCCTAGAAAAATAAGGAAATTAGAAATAACAATTCAAAATATTGACAGATATATATTTTTGTAAGGAAAAATCAATTGAGACAGAACTCGAGACCTTATTTAAATCACTAAGTGCGCGTGCAATAGGGGCATTACGTGCATATTCGGTTTTCCAATTCCCCTAATAAAAAGGCAAAGACACGTAAACGGAACACGACACGACACGATACGGTCTAATAAAAAAGTATAATGGAGAGAGCCTAAGGTCTTAAGGTTTATTAGAAGCAAGCAAGAGTTATAAGAAGGCGTAGGTTCAGAAAAGTTCAAAGCAAATTTATGGAACGCGCGATGAATAGAATTATCATGATATGGCCTCCAAATGAACGTATCATATTCCAAAGTGGAACGTATGAAAGACGTATGTATATAGCAGTTTAAGGGTATATGGATCAGAGAATTGTGCACAGTTCCGCCTGACGAAGCCTAGAGCTGAGTAAGATTTCCTAACAATGTGACCAATATGACTATTAAATGTTAAATTCGATGAAAAAATAATGCCAAGGTCTTTTGTTTCCTCAACAGTTTCTAACAGAGTTAGAAATACTGTAACGACTCAAAAAAACATTATGAATTTTTGTAAAAGTAATTTTGAAGCATTTCTCAATATTCAAAAAAGGTGATTTTTAGTACACCAGAGATACAAATTATCAAGATCAGTTTGAAGTTTATACATGTCGCTAAGATCTTTTAAAAAAAAAAATTTTAAATCATCTGCATATAGCAAATAATTAGCGAAGGAAAAACAGATACTTACATCGTTAATAAACCGAGTGAAAAGTAAAGGGCCTAAAATACTTCCTTGAGGAATCCCAGAAAAAGCAAAAAAAGATGTAGAAGATATGCCGTCAATAGTGATTACCAGGGAACGGATTTTATGGAAATTGCCTTTTTTTCTGCTAAAGAGATAGAGTATATTCGATTAAGAATGTCCACGATTTAGCTTTCCCTGATTCCATATATACACATTTGATGTTGCCTTTTTTTGCCTTTTTTAAGATATTTGCCTTTTNTTGCTTTTTTTGCAATACCTAGTGCCTTTTCCTGCCTTTTTCGCTATTTTATTTTGCCTTTTCCAGCCTACTAAGTTATTTTATTTTACCTTTTTTATAGGTTTTTAGGTCCTAAAAATCCGTTCCCTGGT